TTCTTGATTGTTTTGATTGAGTATTTGTTTTTGGGTTAAAATAAGTTTTTTGTAATTCTTAGTGATCTAATTACTATGAAACTAGTTATCTGCTAGACGTATCTTTTGTTGCATTGTTACTTCCACTGCTTACTTATTCCATTAGAAATACTGTGACCTTACCCGTTCGACATTCCCTTGATCTAAGACCGCGAGTCTTACGAAACCCTGGGAATCTAGAACGATGTATACTATCTGTGACCCTATGATTATTTTGGGTGGTTTGATTGTGGTTTGTGCATTCTTTGACTGTTGTGTAAAAATAACAACTCACAATTTTGATTTGGGGATTTTTAATGGAAAGGGTGACTTTGCTATTTGGCAACAAAAAATGAAGGGCATTTTAGTCCAACAAAAGGTTTCAAAGGCCATTGAAGACAATTTTTCAACTGATTTTTTACAAGAACAAAGAGAAGAAGCCGATGAGTTTGCTTATACCTCAATCATTTTACACTTGTCTGACGTCGTTTTAAGAAAGATGGGTAAACTGAAAACCACTAAAGAACTTTAGAAAAAATTAAAAGACTTGTATTTGCTTAAGTCTACACCAAATAAACTTTACTTGCTCGAATGTTTTTTCAGTTTCAAAATGGATCCTTCAAAGGATCTTGATGACAATTTAAACGTGTTTAACAAATTGGTGCAAGATATAGTTAATTGTGATGAGACTGTGTCCGAAACTTATAAGGCTATAATTTTGCTCAATGCAATTCCTGATTCCTATAAGGAAGTTAAGAACGCCATTAAGTATGGTAGAGATATGTTGACACCTGAAATTGTTATAGATTCCCTCAAAAGTAAAGAAATGAAAATTAGGGCTGAAAAACACGATAAGAGGAACTGTGAGGTACATATGATGCGGGGCAGAACTCAATTTAGGCAAAATAGTCATGATGGATATCAAACTAGTGGCGAGTCAAGTGGTAATGGATGGAAAAAGAAGAGCAAAGGTAGGTGTAGATCAAAATCTAAGACTAAGGCGAGAAAATGTTATGGTTGTGGAAACACAGGGCATTTTATAAAGGATCGTCATAAGGAGAAGGGTAAGCTGAAGATTAAGGAGAGAGATGAGGTCAATGTGTTAGCATCTACTTCCGATATAAATGGTGTTGAGGTCTATATGATTACAAGTCCCGTTGCATATACTGCTGAATTAAATCTAACTGCTAATTCCCGCATGCATGAGTGGATACTTGACTCTGGTGCATCTTTTCATGTGACGTCTGAAAAGAATTGGTTTTATAAGTTGTATGAATCTAATGTTGGGCATGTTGTGCTGTGTGATAACTTTGCCTATACATTGCTGGAATTGGTGACATAAACGTAAAATTTGACACAGGTTTTGTGTATACGTTAAAGGATGTTAGATATATTCCTGAGTTGTCTAGGAATCTATAGATCTTTAATTTCAGAATTTAGAGAAGAATATTTTATAAATAGTTTTGATCAGATATTTATATCAGATCTAAAATTAAGGATTGAATTAGACAATATTGATAATAATTATTTATCAGATCATACAAATTTTTCATTAGATTCTTTTTATTATTCAGATTAGATTTTTAAAACTGGATATCTTAATAAAAGAAAATAATAAATTAACTGGAGAAGTAAGTACTTTAGGAAAAAAGAATCTTTAATATTGAGAAAGATATTAATAAAATTCGTGAAAACTTAGATTTTATTAAAGAACAAAACTTGACAATCTTAAATAAAATTTCTAGAGTAGAAGATAAAGAAAAATTTCCAGATCTTAAGACTACAGAAGCAATAGAAAATATAAATAAAAAATTAAATAATATAGAAAATAAACCAAATCAAGAAATTGAAAATATAATAAATAACCTAGATAGATTAAGTTTAAAAAATACAGGTAAAGAAAAAATAACTAGAAAATTATCTACAACATTTTATAGAATATGAATAATTTTCCTGGTAGATCAAGAACTATTAGAGAAGTAGGATCATCTTCAGAACCTTATGATAGAAGTAGACATAGTACTTCTAACATAAGTACTAATATAATAGAAAGAATTTTACATAGACAGCCTCAATATAATCAGAATATTGAAGAACTTATAGATCCTGAACAAGATTATAATAGATTCCAAACTCATGGTCTACAATTACTTAATTCAGAAAATTTATATAATAGAGGGATTTTTGAATCAAGAACCCAATTTTTTAGACATATATAAGAGTAGGAATTAATATAGAAGAAATTGATAATATGACAGAAATTTCAGAAAGTAGTAATCATAAAGAATTAGTAGATGAAAATATGGGAATTAAAACAGAACCAGAACAATTTCAATACTTAGCTGGTCATCCTCCTAGAACATCTTATACAAATTATAATGATAAAGAAAGAAATTATATAGCTAGAGGAAAAGTTAGACCTTTAGAACCTAAAATAAAATTTCAGACATCACATAAACCACAGATATTAAACATTACAGCACGTGACCCTCAAACTTGGAATAATATAATAGAAGTATGGAAGAATACAATATTAGGCCATTATATTAGATTAGCAGATAATATGGAATCATTAGAAATGTATAGATATTTAGAAACATTTTTAGGAGAAAGTGTTAAAGCTACATGGGAAGCTTTTAAGAAAGATAAACAACCAGAATTTGAAGCATTGGTAGCATTAGGAAATAATCCTTATAATTTTGTTAGTAAAATACATGAATTATTAACATGAGCAGATCCAAATACAGGACATTTAATAATTCAAAGTAAAGCTATTAGAAACTTGAACAACTTAGCTTAAATAGATGGACTAAAGGTAAAGAAGTTAAACAATTTCTAAACGAATATCATTACCTTGTTTCTATATCAGGTAATACTTTTAATCAAGAATTAGGTAAAAAATTATTCCATAAATTACCAGGTCTCTTAGGATTAGAAATAACAAAAAAGTGGAATGAAAATAAGAATGTTATAGAAAGACCAGATCATTTATGGAGTATAGGAATAAGAACACAATTTATAATGCAATATTTAGAAGAAAAATGTGTTGAATTACAAATTCAGAATCAACTAAAAAAGACTGATTATAAATTTTGTAAAGATATTTTCACACCTCAAACTTATGGTAATAATTTTAGAGAAAAAAGTAAAAGAAAATATGATAAAAAGAAAATTAGTCAACCTTTTAAGAAAAGATATTACCTTAGAAAATCTAATAGAAGAAAACCTTATTTAGATGAAAGTAGACATGTTAGAAAATTTAAACCAGAAAGAAATTATCCTAATAAACTAAATTGTTATGTTTGTGGAGAAACAGATCATTTAGCTAAGACATGTCCAAAAAAGATAAATAATAATGACAAAAGAAGTACTTTAGTAGAATGTACTAATGAAGACTTATTAGAAATAGATGAATACATTTCAGATAAAGAATCAGTATATAGTATTATATCAATAGAAGATTATAATAATAATTATAATTTAGAAGAACAATCAAATTATGAAAATTGTATACAAGAATTTTCTAATATAAAAAATTTATCAGATTCAGATGAAGAATTAGAATTTATGGATCTAGAATTAGAATGTAAACATAAATGGGTAAAAGAAACAGGTTCAGATAGTATACCATGTTTTTTATGTAAATGGTATCCTAGTAAAAAATTAAGAGTTAAATGTAAAAATTATTTTTTAGAAGCATGTAAAAAATGTTTAATACAAAAAGAGTTAATAGAATTTGAAGAAGAAAATTAGAATGATTCAATTCAAATAGAATTATCAGAAATAAAAATATTAAGAAAAAGAATAGAAAACTTAGAAGATATGCAAAGATACATTTTACAGAAATTAGAACTTTTTGAAATAAGTAAAAAAGGAAAAAATCCAGAAATTACTCCTGAACCAGAATTAGTTCAAGTTTTTTGTAATTCAGAAAAATTAAAAAGTATTAAAGTAAAATGTTATGTTAGAATAGAAAATTTTGAAATAATTTGTTTAGGTTTAATAGATTCAGGATGTAGTCATTGTGTAATTAATAAAAGAATCATACCAGAAAAATATATAATAAAGTCAAAAGAACCTATAGAAGCCCAACAAATGGATGTGAATTTTTATAGTTACCAAGATATCCTAAAACCAGCAAGAATTAGTTTTGAGACTAATTGTGGAAGAAGTATAGAATATAGTTTACCTAAAGACTCAGTATGGGTAAAAGAATTATCTTTAAATACAGACTTAATTTTAGGATTAAGTTTTTTGTTAAAAGATAATGGTAGTATAATAATTAGCAAAGATTATATGCAATTACAAAAATTCACACTTTGTGCACCTACTTATACTAAGATTATTCCATCAGAGTATTCTGAGAAGCGTGGTGGGATACTAGAATAAGAAAAAGAATGTGAGTGCAGTAGAGAAAGAGAATGTCAATTAATAGATAAAGAAGAATTAGAAAATTTAAATTTTTTAGAAGAATATTATGAAAGCTTTAAGGAAGAAGAAGAAATATGTTTAGATTTTGTAGAAATTGAAAAAATATATAATCTGTTAGTAACAGAACAAGACATAGAAAATATGATTAGTAAACTAGAAAAATTAGAAATTTTAGGAGAAAATATATTAAAATATTGGGAAAAAGATAAAGTTTTTTGTGAAATAAAAATAAAAAATCCAGAATATATTATTAAGACAAAAAATATTAAAGCTACAAACCAGGATCAGGAAAATTTTAAGATGCATATAAAAGATTTATTAAAATTAGGAGTAATTAAAAAATCAGAAAGTCCACACAGATCAGCAGCCTTTATAGTTAGAAAACATTCAGAAATTATTAGAGGAAAAAGTAGAATGGTAATTAATTATAAAAGATTAAATGATAATACAATAGATGGTGCCTATAATATTCTAGATAAGACAGTTTTAATAAATAAGATTCAAGATTGTAATATTTTTAGTAAGTTTGATTTAAAATCCGATTTTTGGCAAGTAAAAATGCACCCAGATTCAATAGAATGGACAGCCTTCACTAGCCCAGAAGGACATTTTGAATGGTTAGTTATGCCATTTGGATTAAAAAATGCCCCTAGTATTTTTCAAAGAAAAATGGATAGTATTTTTAGTAAACATAATAAATTTATTATAATTTATATAGATGATATTTTAGTATTTAGTAAAAATAGGCGAGAACATAGAGGTCATTTACAAATTCTTTTTTCAGAATTTATTAGACATGGTTTAATTATAAATAAAAAGAAAATATTTTTATTTAAAGAATATATAGAATTTTTAGGAGTAAATATAGGAAAAGGAAAAATAGAATTACAACTTCATATAGCTCAAAAAGCTTTAGATTTTTCAGATAAACTTGAAGATCTTAAACAGTTACAAAATTTTTTAGGATTAGTTAATTATGCTAGACGCTTTATTAAAGATTTGGGAAAAATTGCAGGACCTTTATATGGAAAAACTTCACGAAAAGGTCAAAGATATTTTAATATAGAAGATATTAAATTAGTCCAAAAAATAAAAGAGAAATTAAAAGATTTATCTAAATTATCTATGCCATTAGAAACAGATTATTTAATTATAGAAACAGATGGAAGTATAACAGGATGTGGAGCAATTTTAATTGCAAAACCCAATAAATATGCAGATAAAGATACTGAAAAAATTGTAAGATATAATAGTGGAAATTATAATGAAAAAGGTAATATAAGTAGCATAGACTTAGAATTACTTGCAGTTAATTATGCATTAGATTCTTTTGAATTGTTTATTATTTCTAAAAAGGAAATTACTTTAAGAACAGATTGTAAAGCAATAGTAAGTTTTGTTAATAAAATGAAATTAGAAAATAAAAGAAGTAATAGAAGAAGATGGTTAAATTTTATAGATAGAATTACTAATACTGGATTAGTAATTAATTTTGAACATATTAAAGGTAGTGATAATCAGATAACAGATATTTTAAGTAGAATAATTAAAAATAAAGAATATAATTGATTATTTGCAGATGCAAAGACCAAGAGGCCCCGGGCCAGGATTGCCAACAATTGGCAATTCAAGTTCATCATTTCCTCAGACTAATTTAGCACAGACTCATGACAAGTTAAGATTTGGTAACGTAGAATTACTTTGTTTTCCAAACAGTAATATTAGCTTTAAGACATTATCCCATATTTCAGTTATAAAATCAGAAAAATGTATTTTAGATAATCTATGGATTTCTTATAATAAGAATCCTAAAGACCAAAAATATTTTTTAGCATGTTTAAATGCTCTTTCAGAACACTTTAGTCAAGATCATAAAAAATTTAAGTGTTATGTTGTTTTACAAGGAAGATTTCTAGGAATTTATCATACCTGGTTAGAAGTTTCAGATTGTATAAAGAATTTTCCAAATCCTCTTTATAAAGGATTTTATTCAATTTCAGAAGTATTAGAAGAATGTAGAAAATTTTTAGGAATTAATTATTTTGTTGTCCCTTCTTTAAAAAATGTTTCAGATCAGCCCTTAGATTATGCTTCTAAATTTTGTGAACATTGTAAATGTATGACTAAGAATTTTAAAATTTTAAATGAGTCTAATCAGTCTTTACAACAAGAAAAATTAGTTTTACAAAAAAAAATTTCTGAATTAGAACAAGAAATCATTAATTTAAAGATCTCAAATCCAATTGTCCAGACACAAGCAGGTACTATAGAGCCCAAGAATTCTATAGCTAGTCCAGCTCAAACGGAAGCTGGTAAAGACTTATCAAATCCGTTTATGGTTCTGGGCTTACCAAAAGCTCAACAGACTCAGGGGACTGTTGATTCTCCTACTTTTCAATTTAATCAGACTCAACAGGCTGAAAATCCTGTTACAGAAAATAAAAATATTTCTGAAGACCAGACACAGCAGACTGGATATTCTGCTACTAGACTTATTAGTCCAATGGATCTTAAACAGAAAAGTCCAATTAATTTTCCAGAATCATTTCAATCAGCTCAAGATCCAGAACAGATTTCTCAATCAGATATTAGAAGAATCAAAGAAATATTTGAGAAAATTGAAGAAATACAGCAACAAGTTAAACAAAGTACTACAAAGAAAAAGAAAATACAGATTAAAAAGAAAAATAAAGGCAAAAAAAAAATTGAACAAGAAAAAGATTTGGATAATTTTGAAGACAATAATTCAGAAGAAAATGATAATCCAGAAGGATGTATTGACGGAGGAGACTCTTTAGACAGTATTGGCAGACACAATTATGAAACAAGATAAGGATTCATTCAGACATTTGACAAAAAGTTATGGTGATAAACAAGAGTTTGAAGACTTCTGTCCAAGATTTCAAGAAAAAATCAAGAATTATTGTACGAAAAGTAGAATCTTTACTGTTTTCTTTTTGAAAAATTTGTAAAAAATCTTACTGTTTGATAAAGTAAGATTTGATAGCATAGCTTTTTACTGTTTCCTTTTTGACGTTTTGAAAAAAGCAAAGATTCCTTGCTTTTGAAAAACGCTTCCTCTCTCTTTTCTCCCCTATATAAGGAGACCATTCTTTCATTTGTAAACACACAAGAAAATATATACAATACAAGTTTTGAATTCTTTCAAATATGTTTTAATCTTCTTTCTCTCCCGAAAGGGAAATTCTTAATTGTTCTTATTCTTAGATAGAATAATATCCCACAAAAATATGTTGTTTTAAAAACTACCGATGGATCATTCCGGTAGGTATGCTTTATAGTTCTAAGATATGGTGCTAATAGTTAATATTAGTTCCAGATCTTGTAAGAACAATTTCTGTCCATAAAATTTTTAATTTGTAAAAGTTTTATGATTTTTGTAAAGAATGTTATGCTTCATGCTGGGTATATGATAAGAGCATGTCTTAACTCCAAGTTAAAAGTTTAAACTGTTTTTAAAATAAGCCCTGAGTGACCTCTCAAAGCGTAAAGGCCCAGTGAAGAGGCTAGGAGACGCATAGAAGATGGAAAGGGATCACTGTTTTAAGAATTCTTGTTAAGGGAGTGCCAGTGGTGTCCTTACAAGAATGGAGTTAGGCCCAAGTTCATATATCTCAGATGGCATGTTTTTAAAAAAAAAAAAAAGGGGGGGGGATATTATTTTATCAAAAGAAAAAGATATCTCAATTAAGAAAAGTACTGAGTAGGATTTTCATAATTTGTTTTAACAACTGCCTACAACAGCCTCCAAATCCTTGAAATTCTAACCTTTTTCAGGGACCCCCCCTCTTTTGATTTGTAAGGAACTTCTAAACATTGATACAGGTAAATGATTTCCAATTTTATTAGTTTTCTATTAGAGGTGTCACTAATGAGAGACATTTTCTTTTGCAGGTCATTTGATACCAAGGTGGAGGTTGTTGGGCAATTTGTTGTCAAACGACCCTCGGGCTCTGATGTAACCCCGATTTTATCTATCATCAATCTACCTTGGTCATATGATTGATTTATATGTCGACACAATTATCGAGACAACCCAATCCACATTCATATGGACCGTTAGAAGCAACCTATTGTTAATAGTGTTGCTCACGGTTCGTCCCATTTCCTTGGAGGGCTATGGTATTAATTTGAAGCCCATTATTTTGAGTCGAGCCTTGTTTGGTCCACTAAATAAACCTAACCTAACTTACCTTGTTTGGTCACTTGCTTGGCTTATATTCTTGGCCTCCACTATGAAGAATGTTCCATCTCTCTCTGTGATTGCTTCTCGGCTTCTCCTCTTTCATATGACCTTTGTGGTTTGTGGGCATATTATTGTTCTTTATCTTGTCCAACCCTTTGTGAGTATATTGTAGCAACCGGAGGTGGGAATATAGGTGGTGGTTTTGGGCGTTGTCTCAACCCATTGGTGGTGTCGATCTATTTGTTGAAACTGAGCCCGGTTTACCTTGGTATTTGCTGGAAAGAATTGAACATTGAATGAGATGATGAATGCTATGTTAATAAGTTCTGGATTACCACAGAACTTGTTGGGGGGAAGCCTTGCTTTCTGCCAATTATATTCTTAACAAATTACCACATCGAAAAATGCATAAAATATCTTATGAAGTATGAAAAGGTCACAAAGCTAATTATAAATACTTGAAGTTATGGGGTTGTTTGGCTAAGATAGCAGTCCCTAAACCTAAAAGGGTTAAGATAGGACCTAAAACCATTGATTGTGTATTCATTGGCTATGCCTACCATAGTAATGCGTATAGATTTCTTATACAGAAGTATGAAATACCTGATATGCATGTTAATACAATCATTGAATCAATGGATGCTACATTCTTTGAAAATATTTTTCCTTATAACATGCAAAATGAATCAAATTCACAAAAGAGATCTTGTGAAAGTGAAGAGGCTATAGATCAAGAATTTATAAATGAACAACCTAGACGTAGTAAAAGGGCTTGGACGTCAACCTCCTTTGAGCCTAACATTCAAACATATTTGTTAGAAAATGAACCTCAAAATTTTAAAGAGGCTATGTCATCAACCGAAATTTCATATTGGAAAGAAGCTGTTCATAGTGAAATTGAATCCATATTACAAAATCATACATGGTAATTAATAGACCTTCTTCCCGATAATAAGCCATTGAGATGTAAATGGATTTTTGAAAGGAAAATGAAAGCAAATGGATTAATTGACAAATATAAGGTTAGATTTGTCACGAAAGGCTACAAGCAAAAAGAATATCTTGATTATTTCGATACTTATTCTCCTGTGGCAAAAATCACTTCCATACGTATGCTTATTGCGATAGCAGCATTGAATGGTTAGGATATACATCAAATGGATGTTAAAACGACTTTCTTGAATGGTGAATTAGATGAAGAAATCTATATGGAGTAACCTGAAGGATTTGTGACATCAGGACAAGAAAAGAAAGTATGTTGACTTGTTAAATCACTTCATGGATTAAAGCAGGCTCTTAAGAAATAACATGAAAATTTTGACACGATTATGATGTCAAATGGTTTCAAAATTAACGAGTGTGACAAATGTGTTTATATTAAGAACACTCAAAATGGTTACGTCATGGTTTATTTATACGTAGATGACATGTTGATTATGGGTAACAATGATACCATAATTCAAAATACAAAAAGGATGCTAACAAGTAAATTTGAAATGAAGGATTTAGGTGTAACCGATGTTATATTAGGAATTAAAATTTCTAGAACATCCGATGGTTTCATACTGTCTCAATCACACTACATTGAGAAGATTCTTGATAAATTCAAGAAATACGATATTATCCCTATGAAAACACATATGGATGTTAGTATGCATCTTGTTTCCAATACTGATAATAGTAAGTCTCAATTGGAATATTTTCGTATTATTGGCAGTTTAATGTATGTCATGAACTGCACACGATCTGATATTGCTTATTCCATTAGTAGACTAAGTCGATATACGAGCAATCCAAGCACTGATCATTGGAAGGCAATTGTTAGAGTTTTAGGGTATTTAAAACATACCAAAAACTTTGGATTGTACTATTCAAGATATCCAGCAGTACTTGAAGGATACCGTGATGCAAATTAGATATCAGATACTAAAGACTCCAAGTCAACAAGTGGATATGTTTTTACACTTGGAGGTGCTGTAGTATCATGGAAATCTTCAAAACAAACATGTATAGCTAGATCAACGATGGAATCCGAATTCATTGCATTAGACAAAGTTGGAGAAGAAGTCGAATGGCTACGAAACTTTTTAGAAAATATTCCATGTTGGATAAAACTTGTGCCTGCTATATATATCCATTGTGATAGTTAATCAGTAGTTGGTAGGGCACATAATACAATGTACAACGGTAAATCTCGACATATACATAGTAGACACAATACCGTTAGACAATTGCTCTCTACTGGTATTAACTCTATAGATTATGTGAAGTCAAAGGAGAATATTGTAGATCCGCTAACTAAAAGTTTAACAAGAGAGCAAGTCGAAAGTTCATCGAAAGGGATGGGATTAAAACCAATAAAATAATCAAAAGTTTCCATTGTGGCAACTTAATATAGTTGATTGGAGATCCCAAGATCTAGGTTCAATGGGACAACCGAACTGTGGAAAATTTAGTACGGACTGGGGAGATTTTTATTCCTACCCATTCCTATGATAAGACAGTGCCTAATTGCTACAAAATAGGTTAAGTTACGTTTTTAATGGTTTCTATATCTTGATTCGTTTAAGTGGAGTATAGCAAAATACTCTTTATAGAAACCACCTATGTGGGTGAGAAGGAACCGTTTCTAAGAGAATTAAGTGAAGATGAATTCTCTAAAAAAACTCATGAACCAGGAGGTGTCCAAGGCCAAAATGGACACAAACGTGAGAACCAACAGTGTTCGAAGAGAACTGTGTAACTTCTATTGTCTAGGTTCACATGCAAGGCTGACTGTTCAAAACAACTTGCTACTGATTGGCTAAGTAAATCCGATAGATTTTACTAGAAAAATTTCAAAGTCTTTGATTACTTATCTCGATGCAGTTTTCTTCAATTTTACTTCGATAAACATATCAGATATTGTTTGAAAAAATGCCAACATATTTCATTTATGTGGGGGATTATTGGAAAATAGTTAGTAAAATGGGTCAACTTTGAGCCCCAATTTCAGTGGGACCCACATTTTAATTAATTCAGGACCTAGCGTATTCACGTTCTACTCCGTGAGGTGATTAACGTGATATATTTATTTGTCGAAAACCATTTAGAATTGAATAAAATATTGAATGTCAAAGTAACTCACTTGAAACTATAAATCATAGAAGAATTTGATTTACCAAACACTTATCCCACATAGGAAAGTTAGTAAACTTTGGTGTGGTTTATATGATGAAACTTTGTGAATTGGGTTTGGGCCCCAAGGGGTACCAATAGTCTTTGGAAGGGAAGAGACCTACGTCCTATCGGATTCGATCATAGACCCACACGCGCGCGCCGCCGCCAACCGACTCAACACGGCACGAGCACGAGCACGAGCACGTGTCCGAGTTCAAGTCCGGTTCATGTTCAGGTGCGGGTGGGTCCTTGTGCTATATTAACTTTTTGGACAAAATTTATTTGAATTTTTTGGAACAAATTGTAAATAATCAAATTCTTGAGTACTTAATGAAATTAATTTTGGCTTATTTCCAGGTAATTTTTCTTGGTTTGGATGGTTTGTTAAATAGTCGTCTGTTAACCGACCAAACAGTTGACTGTTAACCGACCAAACTGGTGCAGTATCGAACAAACATGTTTGTTCGAGTTTTGAAGGTTGCCTGAACAGTGACGACTATTCGGGAGGATGTTCGAATGGCCACGAACAAGTCTATAAATAGCCCACCCCACTGCCAGAAAAATTACACCATTTTCATTGCAACAATTCTCTGCATTGAATCTCATCCTCCCCCTCTCTCGTTCTAATATTATTTTCGAAGTTAAAACACTTTGTTGCGTTCGTTGGAATTCCTGCAGATTGTTGTGCTGCTTCCTTAGGAGACGAAATTCGTTCTATTCTGGAAAACGATTGCTGGACGCCTTTAACACCGTTGAAGGTAGCAAATTCGTTTTAAGGAAATATCGTGAAGTCGGTGGGCTCGAATTAACTTTTCTGATCCTGTTGATCGTACTTTTACGCTGTTCAAAATTACATAAGGTAATTCTGTTGGATTATTTCAAAGGAGAAACTTATACTCCAAAAACAACATTGAAGAGAGATAAGCAACAATATACAACACTAAATTTTGGCCGTCATAAAGAGTAATTAGAACTCCAGCCCCATAAGCACTCCATTCATCATAACAATTCCAGAGATCATCAATGTAAAATAATTTAATTTTATGTTTCCCTTGGATGCCATAAACTATTCATATTCACAATATTACTCTGTTCACAAAATCATCAAATAAAAAAGGGACAAATAATCAACCAACATAAACACAATTTCATAAAATAAAGATTAACCAACAAAGCAATCAGACGTGAGATAACGTCAAATATTTTTAAAGAAATAGAAAAGGAAAGAGACAAACTTAGGGCAGGAAATATGATGGAACAACTGGAGTTACACAATCCAAAAAATATTCAAGGTTTGTATGCATTGAAACCTTGTAAAAAATCTACATGGTTCTTTAAGCATAGAGAAGAGAGAGAGAGAGAGAGAGAGCTTTCACTGGTTATATCCCCTAGACATTCAAGGAATGAGAAAACACATTGACTATTAAATAAATGGGAGATGAAGAGAGAAATTAAAGGATAAAATAGAGATTACAATTTTTTGACGACCGGAAATCAAATATTTTTTGAGAAGAGGGTATATTGGTAATATAGATAAATATATAATAGTAAAATTGGTAATAAAAAATTTCTTCTCAATCCCTCATTTTTATATGGGGTGATTATATTACTACCACAATAATTGTTTGGTGCACCAAGATTTTCTTATTTACTTAAATAACTATGAGTAAAAAGACATAAATACCCTATCTATTAATTACTTGTATATTTATTCATTTCATCGTATTATTTGTACACCACAAAAGATATATAACTTCTATTTTAAAGATAGATATAAAATTCCTATTTAAAAATACAAATAAGAAGATTTATATAACAAAAGATCTAAAATTCGAATAAAAGAACAAGAAAGAGTCTTGAAAGAACTTGGAGAGTACCTCCCAATAGCTTTGGAAGTCCTTGTCAAATTCACCCTTTTTAGGGAGCCTTCGGAATACAAGTATAATTTCTTGTCTTCCATAATCTCTTTTATTTTCTTGTAGTTAATGACACATTGCATCATTTCACCCAACTATTTTCAGACATATTTACCATTAAAATTCACTTGGATCCTCAAAAATATTCAATACCATCTTGTTTCGAGTCTCTGTCAGCCTTTGATCCATTATCCTAATCAACCCTAACCACACCCTACTATACACGTGTTTATATCTTTATATCTGCTAATATTATTGGCTGAAAGAGATGGTCTCAACAAAAATATAAAGATGAAACTTGAGGGGAATGTCTTTCAGAATCTGACATTTTGTTACTTAATCTTGGCTTCTTCTTTTTTGGATTATTTCTTTTATAAGTTTATAAGCAATTCCTAAATTTAGAAGATATTTTCCTGGGATTATGAAAGAAAATAAGAGAGATTATGGGAGACATAAGAAGAGGACTTATTGCATCGTATAATTGGCCATGCTCGCAAAGGACAAATTACTTCAGTTATGAGGTTTAGCGGGTGGGCGAAGGTGGTGATGAAGAATGGTTGGGGGGAAGATGAGGAAAATGTGGAGTACATTTTGGGTTATGCCATGTGTACAAACATGTAGAAATATCCTTTTTTTTTTCTTTTCATTTTTAGTTTTTGATAGGTTACAATTATAAAGGTAAATTTATTGTGGTGTATTTATTGAAAATATTCTTTAATTGTGGTTTGATTATAGTGTGGTGTAGTAATGAAAATTTGTGACGGTAATATAATTAGCCTTTTATATATTGTAGATTATAGATATATTGCATTATTTTTGGAATAAAAAATGATGATATAATTATTTTTGAATATCTATAATCTATTCTATAATTATATTAAAGTATCTAAATCATTTTTTGGACGATTTAACCTCCCTACAATTCAATTATTTCAATAATACCTTACTTTTCACTTTTCGATATGTAATAAATACTACATAATTATTATCGTTTATTAAATTTGTGTTATTTATTCTCAATTAATTAACATTCACATTAATCTAGATTCAATGAATTTTCACTCGATAAATCTTGAATTATATAATTCTAGATTTATTATAGATGAATTTATTCATATTCATGTATTTAAAAATTTTAATGGGTGTTTAATTTATGTATTAACAATTAATTTTTTATGTATCAAATGTAATATAAAAAGATTGCTCATTTATAGTATTTCATTATTACAAAAAATTTGAATCATAGAAGTTGAGTTTTGATAGTACAATAAATTGGTACCAAATATTACTTTTACATTACTTATAAAGTATCTTAGAACAACGTGCAATTCGCGTTCAACTTTGACTATTTTATTTAAAAGTATACAGTTTATGTAATTTCTACTTTCTTTGAACTGCAAAAATTTGAATTTGGCCATGCTGGAGCACTAGGTCTTGAAAATATGAAACTAATATCCGTCGAAACATTGACCCAAATAACCCTATAATAGGGCACATGTGAAAATGCCTATTTCAAGCAACCAATGTTTTCACAATAACATAAGGTGTTCTCAACTCATATTCTAATAAATTTTAAAGTCTATTACAATCTAGTTATCCCATAACTAGTGAATTTTAAATATATTATTAATTGGAATGACTTGAGTATTAATCGATTTCGAGACTATAAACAAGAATTAATTACGTCATTTGTCACTGAAGACTTAAGTAACTACACTAATGGCTATCTACGTTATTTTCTTATGCTAATAATCACTCAAATTATTAATCGCATTCTAATGATCACTTGATAAAAAAAATAACATTAAATTTAACGTGACATCATTAAATACCAACGTGTCACTAACAATGTAATTGCCAAATCAGCAAAAATCATTGTTAAAAGTAAACTATGAGTTTACTATACGGTTCAAGTCCAAAAATAAAATCAAAATTAGAGTCACATTATGTTATTCTCATTTTAACTTGTATAATTTGGCGAGTCAGCACAGAATGCTATTTTTCTAATAGAATGACTATAATTAGCTAACAATTAAAAACTTGAGTGATTATTAATAACTTCAGCAACCATTGGTGTAGTTACTCAAACTTTTAGTTGCCATTGACGTAATTAACCCTATAAATATACATATGAAATCCAATAGAAATTTTAGTATTTCAATAGATTTCGAACTCATAAATATGAAGTCAAAATTATTCATACAGTTAAGAAAAATAAAAGAAATTAATATAAATAAAAATATAAAAATAAATAAAATATTAATAAATGTATCTTATTTTCAATTATCATTCATCTGGACGGTAAATAAAAATATGAATTAGGTTCTCATTTTTATTAGAATTTGATATCGAATTTTTATAATTGGACAACTTAGAATAAAAAAAAAAAGTCAATCCATTCCGCTTTAAAAAATTCATGAACATGTCTTCAATCATAAAATATTTAGCGCATATTTTACATTAAAAAATAATTTATGACATATTTTGTAACTAATAATCGACATTGTAAGGAAAGACAATCTTTATTTTCAAATCGAGCTGATTTTTCATTTGTTGACATTTGTTTGTTCTATTTTTAAGATTCATGAAATTAATTATTGTCCTCAATGAGATTTTAAAATATTATAAATTCTAACGAATTTCATATGTTTACATAGATTTTCACATAATGCACGAGAATGAAGAATCTCATTAAAAATGTTGAATATCAAAATAATCTGTTATTTGTTTTTAAACTTGAAATTCATCAAAATCTCTTTATATATTGATTTGTTATTTAGATTACTTAATTTTTAATAGATTTTAATATATTCAAAATCTCAAGTAGGAAAACTTAGATTTTACTAGATTGATTAAAATCTCAGATGGAGAAACCTGAATTTATAAAGACTTTTAAAATTCATTAGAATTTTATTTGGTCTAACTTAAGAATTTTCTATAATATACGAATTTTATGAAATCCATTAAAACTTATAATATAGAATTTACAAAAATCTGATAATTAAATATGTGAATTTTTATTCGAATTTGTGAAATATGTGAGAATCCATAAATCTTAAAAAATTAATTAAATTTGAGTCGAGATACTCCCATAGGTGGACTCATCGTCGGGTGGAGTCAGGATTTTTATTTGAAAAATATTACAGTGGTTGGTGGACATGGCAAAGCAGTATTGACATAGATAACGACATTTAAAACCAAAATAATAGTTTTTGTTTCGAAATTATGTTAGGAAGACGTAGTAGTAATCAACTTAGGGTTATTTGTAAAAATATTAATAAAACTAAGAAGAAATAAAGGAATCAACAATATTTTATTTTAAACAAATCAAGGTTTGAATATACATATAAAACGACAAATAGAAAAAAAAATAGAAAATCAAATTTACTCATTGTGCATAAATATTAAAATAAAGCAAACAAAGTACAAAAATTTCAGTCGTAACAAGGTAAGTGAAGAAAAGCTTAATTAGAAAAGAAAAGAAAAAACTCAATGTCCTACTAGGGTTGC